ATCCTTGGTTTTGGGCATGCTTTGGCCCTTTGCTGTTTTTTTTTTTTTTTTTTTGTCGTTTTGTTGTATGGCCCCTGTTGCTGTTTGATGAGTGTGCTCTGTGTGCTCTGTCACTGGTGCTGCCACAGAAACCCGGGTGCAGGGCTGTTTTTGCCATGCACCTTCTGGATTTTGAAGCACATAGCGTAGTTTTCCTTTGCTGCTCCAGCAGAGCTTGCAGAATGAGGCAGGAGCTATTGCTTTAGGCAAATGGTGAGCAAACACCTTTGATAAACAAGTCTCTGGAACTGGGCAAAGGAAGACGCCTCTTAGCACCTTTTATCAGCACTAAAATGATATCTAGACTGTAAGCAAAACTGAAATGCTGCACATCCATCATTAAAGCTAGAAAGAAAGTATAGACAGGGTATAGGTAGTGGAAGTTTTTATGTTCCTTTCCAGATTCATACTGGAAGTACTGTGAGTGGAGGCATGCAAACGCTTTATGCTTCACATCTATTGCTCTTCCTTAATTGAGAGAAGATGGAGGTGACTTTTGGGCTCTCTTGACCAAGGCTCAACATGGGCCAGTGATGCCCAGATGATGGACACCACAGTGACTTCCAGCATACCAAGCCACCTGCTTCTTCGAGTCCTGCAGTTTCAGGAGATCTTAATGTTAGGGTGACTTCTGATCAGTGTAACATGAGCTGCAAGTTTTTTTTTTTTTTTCTTTTGGCTAAGTAAAAGCTGTCAGGCAATTTTACCTTTGTATATGGCATTAATGAGCCATTGCTGAAATACGGTGTCCAACTCTGGTGTCTGCATGAAAAAAGATGCTGACAAATTGGAAAGAATTCAGGAAAAAAAAACCCTGCAGAAATAATTAGGCATCTGGAAACTGTATTGTACAGAGTGAGGTAGATTGAATAGATTGAGCTGCTTATCAGAGAGTCAAGAGGTGGTCGTATCAGATTATAGCTATCCGTTATAACTAACCTCATTAGCAGATGGAGGTAAAGCAAGATGTGGTGACTGGAATTTGAAGCTGGACATTCTCAAAGTTGAAATAAGGCACATTCTTTAATAGACTAATTTAGCAGAAGAATATGAGATTGGTTATGTCTCTTCAGAAATTAAAATAAACATTGGCAACCTGTTTTAAAGCTATAGTTAAATATTAGCCAGATAATAATTGCATTATTTAAAGGCCAGGTTAGAGATTAATAACATCCTTATTAATTGAGGTCTTGTTGTAAGTGAATGGCATTACTAAGCTAATGCTTCCTCAGGAAAAAATGTTATTAAGCCCAAGACATGCTTACAAAATATAATTTATTTAATCTACATACTTAGCTACATCCTGTATACTATTTGGAAAGATATCTACAAAGCAAATATTGGAATGATCCAATTAACTTCGTGTGCATAGTAATAACAAGGTGCCTTTCAGATTGCCCAATAAGTTTCCTGATATTCACCATGAGGTTAGTAAGTAGGTTTTGTTTCATGTTGTTTTTTTGAGATAATATGAACAGTTCTGCCTATTATTTATTTATTTTTAACCTTAACAGACAACCCATTGGCTGTATAGGTATTATGTGATTGAATGAGTGTCGTAAATTTACCTTGCTAAAATTGTGTGAGGGCCTTATCTAGCGCACTTGTAAGTGAATGTGTGTGCCTTTGGCCATTTCTTTCCATACAGTGTGCCCTTCTCAGGCGATCTGTTTTGACATCTGTGAGATGCTGCTGTAGGCAGCAGGTGTGCTGGAAGTTAAGAGGACTGATCGGTATCAACTGATGTGATACCTGTAAAGTATCCTGTGCTAAACTACTGGGTAGCTGCATAGACCTTCTGTTTAACCCCTGGCCAGATTTAGGGCTGCGTTTTAATATTACTGCAATAGTATTTAAACGAAGAAGTAAAAAAAAAAAAAAAAAAACCCAAACACAACATGTTATTCACTTAATCCTATTACCCTTGAAGGGAAACAAAAGGAAAATAAAAATATATTCTAATATAGCAAACAGCACTCTCAGTATATCAGTATACAAGCCACTCTGGCAATGTATTTACAGTGTAATTAAAAAGTCAAAACTTGTGATAAATTCTAAAATTCATTCTTTGGTATTAGAATGTGCAGCACTCCCACTTAAGTGAATGAAAATTTTGCCTGCATAAGCAAAGTATGTCCAAGTAATAAGAAAATACATGCTGTGGAAAGATCAGATAACAGCACTCTGGATTTTTTCCCAGGTTCTTCCTTTGTCTGCCAGTATATTAGGTTTGGTTATTCACTGCTGAAATCAATGAATATACTGCATTGATTATGGCAGAACAAATCTGAACACAATAATTGTATAAATTACTACACCTACTTAATTTGACGTGTATATATGAATCTCAAGCTGTATGGAACTTCTTGTTCAAGGTTGATGGTACTTCTTTTTGAAAGATCATGACCTTGGACCGTGAAAGTAGTAGTGGTTAAATGTTATTACAAAATGTTGTGTTGTATTTTATCCATTATTGTTGGTTAATATTTTGCAATATTGATCTGCTATAATGGAAAGAATTTGCCTTGACTCATTTTAATTTTTTTTTTCAGGGAAAGAAATGGAGAAAATTCAGTAACTTCCAAGTCTAACGCCTTGCACATAACTGAATGAATTTTACAAATGCTTATTTTTGTGTTGAGAAAATGACTGCAGATGTAGAAGAAAATAGAGCTTGTTGGAAAAGAATACCTGTCAAAAAGTGGATGTCCAATATCTAATCTGGAAGTAATATAAATCTACCTGTTATGGTGCGATCCTGGAGTGGAATTAACTCTATAGCACACAGGTAGCCCAAAAAGGGGAAAATAAACTTTCAATTTTTCTAAATTATGGAAATTTTTTGGAAGACGTGGACATGGATTTTGAGCCTAGTCATTGTTTCATCGGAATTTCACAGTGACAAGAGGCTTTCATACAGTTCTCAAGGTAGGAGCCTGGCCTCTGTAGCTGCAGAAATCATCGATTTTTGTGTTAAACATGGGTGTTTTCTAAACCGTGTCTATAGAAATTGATGGTATTGTACAGACTCTTAATTCTGTCATGATTGATTATCATGGAAGAGTAATTACAGACAATCCGATTGAATTGTCCTAATTTCTGTCTACTTTTACCTGTAAGAAAGCCTTGCCTCCAGTAAAACATTGTACTGGCTAACAGTTCAGAAATTTGCCAGAACCTCATTAACACTTTTTAAAAAGCAGGAAGTAAGGATCTAATCTTACTTTTGATATATTAACATTTGTAGATTTTTATTGGAATGAAGCACCATTTGCATGTTTTTCCAAAGTAATACTTTTTGTCATTACTACTGTTTTTATTTTTGCAGGTGGATCTAATAGCTTTTTGGCTTTGAATGGTATCACTGGGAAGAATACGTCTTTTTAGGTAGAATTTAGCCCCAGATGTTTGCATATTTTGGGTATACAGGAAAAGATATGTAGTTTAAAACTCTGGTATTTCCAGTGACACCAAGTTAATAGAAAACTGAATGCCATTTGTTGACTTAGAAAGAAAGGATATTTTATTTATAAAGCTCTGCATCCTAAATTTACCTGAAAATGGCTTTCACTTGTGGGGGTGTTGAGATTTAGCCAAATACGTTAATGTTTGTACTACTACTTGTTGTTTCCTGTTATATTTTCTTCTCTTCTATGCCCACTCCCTGGACTGTCTTACCTTGTGATTACAAAGAGGAATTCCTGTCTTATCTTGAACACTACCAAGTAACAATCCCAATAAGGGTTGATCAAAATGGAGCCTTCCTCAGCTTTACTGTGAAAAATGCTAAACCCTCAAGGAGGCGGAGGAGCACAGACCCTTACGATCAAGAACTGGCAGCATCTAAGTTATTTTTTAAACTTTCTGCCTATGGCAAGCACTTTCATTTAAACCTGACTCTCAACACAGATTTGGTATCCAGACATTTTACAGTAGAATACTGGGGGAAAGATGGACCTCAATGGAAACACAGTTTTTTAGACCACTGTCATTACACAGGATATTTGCAAGACCAGCATAGTACAACTAAAGTGGCCTTAAGCAACTGCGATGGTCTGGTAAGTGCATGTTATATGTTCTTGTATAATAGTGTGCTGCTTCCGTTCTGTTCCAGAAGAACAATTTAATTGGTGTATCTTTCAGTCTTTGAAATTCCTGGGTGTCTGGGTCCTGGCAGAAGAGTATTCATCAGTTTCTTAAACTTAATTGTAAGTGCTAAGGCCCAATTCTTTAGTCCTTCAGCAACCAACATTTTTAGTGTTTACAGGGTCTGCTTCAGGGCTGCAAGATTAGGTCTGTGGCGAGATTATTGCAGATTATTAAAATTTTACACACCCAGTGTCGAGGATGGGATACTGGGTCCTGTAGGATGCTTAGTCTCCAATAAGGTATTGATTGAACTTAACACTCACTTGCCATCTCTGAGAACTGGGCTGTATAAAATTCAAGTAAATAACAGAGGAGAGGAACTGCTTGGTGTAGAAGTTGTCATTACTAAATCCAAAGAGGAAAGAGGGTCATTTGCATGCATCAGAAAGTAACTTTTTTTTTTTTTTTTTTTTTTTGTTGTTGTTGATTACAAATCAAACAGTTGCAGTTAAGCTAAGGGTAGGTTTAGAAAGTCTTATCTCTTATTTTTTTCTTAATGAGCTGCTCTCACTGTTGATCTCTTGATCACATGGCAGTAATACTTGAATGTGAAAAAGCTCCATTTATTATAACAAAAGTGTTAAACCCCCGAACTGTTGTGTTAGAAAATACTAAAATAGTGGAGCATTATTAAGAAATAGTAAATCAAGAATCTACTAATTACTTTAGTAAAAATGTCTATGTATTGTGTTATTTTTTTGTTTGTTTTTATTATAGTAGAATGCCAGTAAGTTTCCTTGTTAGATGTAGACAGATCTAATTGATAAAGGAAAGAAATAATCAAGCAGAATTGCGAAAGTATGTCCTTTTTATTGTCCCAAGTGCTCTAGAATAATGCATCGTAGGGTGTGATTGCCAACAAAAGCCTGCAGTTTCAGAGCTGGACAGCTAGAAATATACCCAACCGTTCGAGATGTCCCTGATAAAGTCTAGGTTAACACTCTGAGCAGATAAAGAATTTAATGAGGATTACTAGGGTAAATGAACACAGCTTAATAGAGACTTAACTTCACTTTTACATTTCTCATGTAAGAACATTTTCTCACTGCCTTACACAATGAGGTAACTTTTAAGCACAGCTTTTGTGCATTGTTCTTCTGTCCGCTTTTTCATTCTTTTACTGCAGGAAAACTTTCTGTGTGTTCAGGTGTCAGTGCATTAACACAGTGTTTGTAAGTTAACTCTAGTTTGTGATGCTTCCCAATTAAGTCATTATCAGCACAGCTTCCAGCAATTTTTGTTCTGAATGAGGCAGTCTTGCATGCCTGGCCACACCATGCTTCAGGTCATCTTCTTCATGGTTGTGCTTCTTGCTGGGGACTGCATGTGTCAGGTGCCCACTGCCTCTTCTTGAAGGACCAAGTCAGAAACATGTGAGGCTTCCATCATACTTTAGAAGCAGTAGTGAGGTGGCACAAGATGCTTTCTCACTCCTTCAAGGAAGCAGGGACCTGTTAAAGGGCTGCAGTGGTGAGCAGAACTCAAGAAACCTTCTGCTGCACAGTGTTGGCCCAGAACTGCATATGGGAGCTACCCCTCCCATAGATAAATCCATCACAGTTACTTTTAAAATGATTCCTACTGACAAACATTTTGTTATATGGCTACTTGTTAGAATGTGCTTAATACTTGGTGTAAATTGCTTTATTAACTATTACTTGTTTTAGAATTGGTGATAATTCAGCATATCGAAGATTCATGCTCAGGGCACTTGATATGTTTTCCAGTTTCCTTATTGGACTGCTGATCATATTCTATATAGTCCTTTATCCGTATCTGTCCAAAGCCTGTGACCTTATGGGGTCAATAATACTAAAATAAGTAATAGCACCGAGTGATACTTTCTTCATTTTGGCTCACTTCCTACTTATGAACTTGAGCCATCCATTTGTGCCAGTCATTCTGTTAGGTTTCAGTATTGTCAGGTGAGTTAGATTTCCTCCCCTTATGAATTTTTTCAGTTCCTCTGTTTAGTTATCCAGGGTTACTGAGTGAAATTATGGCCGAATTAATGTAAATTGGGTGAATTTAAAGAACACTTACAGCATCTCAGATCAGCTTTAATGCAAATAGAGTTTTCAGTCTCATTATGATAAAACTAATAATCAGGCAGATCATTTCCCTCTCACTATTTCCAGTTTCAGCCTCTCTCTATATATTCATTTTACCTAGTGCCCCAGGATCGCAGACTACTAATTTAGTGTCATTCTTGTAGCTCCCATCTACTGGGCCCTGATTATACTATAAACTATATGAAGTTGTAAGAAGTGCTCTATAATCCAGTGACCAGTTACGTGAGGGAATTGAAGCAAGCTTCAAAACTCATGTTTACTTCAATGGATGTTCCATGGACAGATGGATTGCAGATTTGTCCTTCCCATGAAAAAAAAAAAGCCAGCAAATAGCAGTAGCTGGGGCCTTTACATGTTAGGTACAGTGAGATTGAGGCAGAAGTGCTGAGACATTGCTTAAGATGGGTATGTCATACTGCAGGGAAGAAAAACAGTGGCAGGCTGACAAAAGAGTGAATTTCACGTTATAAAGAGAGGTTTGCCTAAATATGAGCAGAATAAGTCTTAGAGATGGTAAGTTTGGGGCTGGTTGATAGTAGGAGTAAAGCAGAAATCAAACTTCACCTGTTCACCACCTCTACCTGCTTCTATGTGTCAGAGGTCTTCTTGAATGCTCGAGCAAGTTTTCCACTGTAGCAGTTTTTCTCATTTTGAGCCAAAAGTCCCGGTAGCAGGAAATACTTTTGAAATTTATAGAAAGTGATTTATTTTTAGGAAAGTGATTTGGAGGTTAAATCTCATTTTGGGATTACTATAGCTCCAAGGAAATGCCTTATGTAAAAGACCAAATATTTCCATGACATGTAAGAGTCCATACATTGTGCTGGGTACCACAGATGTCATTTTTCAAACAGAAATGGTTGAGAGAGTCCAAGAAGTAGATTGTAACTAAAAGAATGACCCTTACGTGTAATTCTTGGGTTAAAGGAAGAATTATTTTGCCAGGCAGCTTCATGTTCTTTTCATAATTTCATCAATTCATAGTTTTATAACTTGTTCATAGCCTTCTTAAATTAGCTAATTTGAAAGCTGATTCTCCTTTAAAGAAAACATCTACTTTTATAGATTGTAAACTGAACATAATGTGATATTTTAAGTAATATTTTTAAAACATAGGCAAAATTTATAATTTATAAAATTCAGAAAGATCATAAGTGATAGTAAAGGCTGATCTAGTAATCTTTTCTTTCTGGAGTTCTCTTTGATACTAATATGTATTTGCAGTATGGACTAAGTGTTCAGAAAATCATGTAAAAGCTGTTCCTAGTTTTAGAGTGTACAAGTAGACTGCATGGTGTGCTGTTCTGTCCAGATCTGTGTTGCGTCCTTGAGAATACACTAAGCTAATGCAGCTGAGAATACACTGAGCTAATGCAGCCTGTTTCATTAGGAACTGCATAGGAGCACAGAACCAACTATAGTGGTATTGGGCTGCACTGTCAGACGTCAGAGACTTTTCAGAAGGTCGCATGGCTATTATTTTATATTAAAAATAGAAAAAACACAGATAAAGCATGTCTAGAGAGGTATAAAGCAGGGAAAAGCTTTGAAAAGCAACAGTGCTGTGTGGAAAACACATGCACTTGTTTTCTGGAATTCAATTTGATTTAGTAACTGATGAACATCTGAAGTGTGGTAAGGCTTGGCTCGACAGCCTGACGCAAAAAAGATTGCTTTTCACAAATTCAGGGGTGCTCTGCCTGGATTTGCTGATTTGCCTGAGCATGTCAAGCTGCTGGATCCAGACCTTGTATATGTTAGCAGGAGCTGGAGGTCAGTAGTGGGACTGGATAACACAGGACCTCAAACAATCTGTTTTAGATAAGTCTTGGGAATATTGCTTGTAGTAACCTTTCTGGGCATTTGGCTGATTCTTAAATTAGTGATATTTTTATCCAAATATTTTGCTGGTCTTTCTTGCATCATAGTGATATCCCTTGTGCTTTGGAGCAGACATTTAATTTACAAGCTGTTAAAGTTCAATTGTAAAAGCAAAACTGAAAAAAAATCCTTTAAATTCAAGCATGTAATTTATATTTCCCTTTCTCAGCTGAAACTTAATTTTGGCCAAATAGTAGAAGATAGGGGGGCTAGAATGTCAGTTTGCATATAGTAGTGTAATTCACACTATTACCCAAGTGTTCCTGAATGCATATACAGTGGAAACCTCACTGAACACGAACATCTTCTAAATTTAGAATAAATGCTGTTTTCACTGAGGTATTGCCTCAGAGTTTAGACTGTTTTTTAAGAAAATAAAATTCACTTTGGTTCAACAAGATCACTTGCAATAGTGTAATATTGGAAGAACAGTTTTGTTTGCAACCTAAATTAATACACTCAAGGAAATGCTGGACTTATATGTGCAAGGCTTATCGATAAGGTAGGGCAAGTGCTTTTCCACTGTTCAAAAATCACTCAGCTAGTTACAGAAACTGATCACATTCATGTTCTGACTATCTAGTGGCAGCTGTAATCTAAAAGTTACCCTTGATAAGTTTCTTAAGTGTTACTAAAATGTCATTTTGTTAAGCCACCATAAGGTTTGTGTAGGTGAGATAAGATACTGACTAGGCACAGGAGAAAAAAAAAAAGGAGTTAATTTCCTGGTGCCTTCACTGATAGTACCTGAATGAGTGGTGATGGTAGTTTGTAGGTAGTCATGGTATTTTTTCTCTTATACACAATTTATTTAGAGAATTAATGTTGCAATTAAGTGTTGTTTATGACATCTGAATTAAGTTGCTCCCACTGAGGTCATACCACCTCTGAGAACTATTAATTATAGTCTGATAGAGCCGTCTCAATTCCGCTCAGACCGACTAAACTGACTGGCTTTGAGTGCAGAACTGAAAGCTGTGTGCCCTAGAGTAATCAGTGCTGGGTTAAGGCCTCTCTGTTGCAGAGACAGGGTTACGGTATGGATGATACTTCTGTCTTCTCAGACTTGGCAAAAAGCAGATGGTGTTAACCAGAGCCACTCTGCAGGATACTTTTCTGCTGGGAACAGTATAGCAGCGCTTATAATGGACCAAGATTCTCCTGCACCCAGATGTCTGACATCTAGACTGGATGCAGTCCAGACCATCAAGGTTCTTTCCACACATGTGGCGAGTCTAGTTACAGTTTGGTTTATACTCGCAAGACTGTTTAAGCAGCAGTGTACCAGTAAGGGATTTATTTTTAATGACCTCTTAGATTTCAAATAACAAGAATGTCTTATTTTTTTGAGAGAAATTTTGTACTTATGTTGTCCAGATGAATGCAACCTCTGGTGGTGTTTTCCTTAGTAAATAGCTGAGTTCATAACACTATTGAAGAGGAACATCAGTTGTTACGGTTGCAGTATGTAAGAATGAACACATTTCTTTTTCCTTACACATTTCTTATGTTTTCAAAAACTATAAAAGGAATATATTTAGAGAACACTTTTATTCCTGAACTGTTTTAAGGTTTATTTATTTTATAGGTTGTATGTTGTTATTGAAATCCAGTTGTTTTGGGAGTGAAGAGCAGCAGACAGTTAGTACACAGAACAGCAATAAGAGGAGAGTCTTAACCAGGTGTGAAATGACAAGTCCTAATCTCAGTATCTTTGGGTTATTTAAAGCAAATATGGATCAAATCCTTCATGGTTACTTGTATCTTAGAGGTCTTGCTGGAGAAATACAACCCATTTAAACGAGAGAGTCATGCATAAGGCTTGCTTTACAGAAAAAAAGGTAGCAGAAATAGAAATATACAACTGTATAAGTTGCTTCTTTAAGCAACTGTATATATATATATATGTGTGTGCGTGTGTATATATGCTTCTGTAGAGGATATTTTACAACCTTTAGGAAGCACCTTGAGATGAGTCCTTTGCACACATCATTGATTGCAGAGCTCAGTATATATTAATTCATGAAAATGTGTATGTTGAATGAGATACTGAATAGTTCTAAATCCTCTTGAATTGGATTAAAAATTAATTCACAATTAAGAATATTTTTTACTTAAATAGTCTTTATAGTGGCTTTAATGGGATCTAGATGAATTCCTGATTCATCAAATCAGGATATAAATGCAGAATTTCCTGCTTTCCAGTCTACTATCTCTTTCTCCTAGTGTGGTAAGATTATATGTTCTGAAATTTCTTCGTACAGTAATCAGATTTTTTTTCAGATAGCAAGTGTCGAATTTGGGGTGTGTCAAGGCTGTTCCTCAATATCTGTATCTGAAAGGATCATCCAGTTGGATTTTTCTTGTAAAGTTCAGTTTTAGCATCTAAATATTTAGGAAATTGCATAGTTGGTATGAAATCTCCTCCTCCTTCTGTGAACCACTTCCTGTTTGGAAGAAGCTGAGTTTACAAATACCAAATGGAGATCTACCATTCTGTACTGCAGTATAAGGGGAAAAATGTTCATTTATTATGGGGAAAGAGCTCTGGTACGTAATCAGCAACAGTTCTTATCTGCCAAAGGTCTGTGGTGAGACTTTTTAAGGGATAAATACTTTTTACATAGTTTATCTTAAGTTTTTACTAATAGTTTGATTTCAATTACTCTAGCTCGATTTTGGAATTCAGCATCTGAATGTAGAACACTGAATGTTGTCCCTGAATAATATTTTCTAAAATAAATCTTTATGCAGCTTTCCAGTGTACAGTAGTAAGAACTACTGATATGCCATCACAGAGGCATAGGAGGCTCACCCTCTGATTGAGGCCTTTTTGGCTTGGCATGACTTTTATGTATGAATCATGGAGTCCTGGAACATCTTTGTGAGCAGACTGCTTGTCATAGTTCAAAGAATATCTCTTGTTCTTTTACCACATCCACCTAAGATGATGGGAAAGAAAGAACTCCAGAAGTAGGGCTATGTCTGTTCTCCTGTTACTCTGTTTTGTATAGGGACCTACTCTTGCTCCTGCTAAAGTCAGTGGAGGAGACTGACTGACTCTTACACTATTTGCTGTGGTGGTGTGTTATGAAATTCTTCACAGAAATAAATGATAGTCCAATTACTGTAAATTAAACTTAATAGTTTTCTATTTTGTCTTTTGAAGTTTTTATGTTCTTTTTTTTCCCTCTTAAGCATGGAGTTATTGCTACAGAAGATGAAGAGTATTTTATAGAGCCTTTAAGGAATATAACAAAAAATTCCAGTAAATTTAATTATGAAAATGGTCATCCTCATGTTATTTACAAAAAGTCTACCATGCACCAACAACATCTCTATGATCATGGTCACTGTGGAGTCTCAGGTAAAAAAGTGTGAATGTCAGTTATGTATATAAAAGTCATAATTATAAAAATTATAACAACTTATGTTTTAAGATATTTGTAGTTGATATATAAGATATAGTGGACATGGTTGCAGTAGGAATTTTCCTCTGGAGGATGTGATGTGTCCCTTTTGAAAAGTAGTTTTGCATTTTTTTTTTCACATTAGCAATATTATATAGTAGTGTGATGAGCACAGGCTTCCTCATAATGCACTGCAGATGTGCCGTGTTCCCAGGCTAGGGACTTGAGTGGTTTGATTACTGGAGTAATGAAGTATTGCAGCTCAGTGTTTAATAAATGTTCCATCTAACTTGATATGTTAGAAATAAATTAGTACTGTCATTAACAATACATTTGGAACTGATCTGGAGTGCCCAGATCTTTCTCGCTTAAGGTGGCTTAGGTGTTTTGATATTATGGGTAGGTTTTTTGTTTGTTTTTGGTGAGTTTCAGTGGGTTAAGATTATTTCCTGACAGGCAATTCCAGGTGATTTACAGGTGACCTACAGGAAGGACCACATAGTTTTGAAGGAGGGATAGTTTTGCTTTAAAGCAGAATTTAACCTCCGCAAAAACACTTTTCAAATATCCTCCTTCTGACATCATTTCCACTTGCTTAAACTTAAGCCAAAAGCTAATTTCTTGAGTAGTAGTTCTTGGAGTTGAATCTGGCAAGTTGTTTTAGAGCATTAAAATGTTTTTCATGTATTTGAAAAATGATCTGGGCTTAATGTTTACGCTGTTGCTCTCAAGAATCGCTTGTTCTTAAAAGTTCAGTCCAGACATTATTTTTCCATGAGATTCAGTCCATAGGACAGGTTGGCAAATATTAAAATAATGTCATTGTTCATTGATATTACCTCTTCGCTTCTCCTTTTGGAAGTTGTAGCTTTTACTGGCACTGGCTGACTGAACTTAAAACAGATCTTATACCAAAAAAACATGTTTGGGAGACATTTTTTTCCTGAGTAGTTCCATTAACTATGATTAGATTGGTAGGAAATATCAAACTTTCTGTAACTAACTTCTTAATTAACACTTCTTAAGAAGTGTGATAATTAAAAAGTTCTTAATTTCATCTACATTCTAGGCTCTTCTCTGTGGTGTCTGGTGACAGGACGAGGGGTAACGGGTGTGAGTTGAAACACAGGAAGTTTAATCTCCATATGAGGGAGAGCTCCTTAACAGTGAGGGTGACAGAGCCCTGGAACGGGCTGCCCAGAGAGGCCGTGGAGTCTCCTTCTCTGGAGATCTTCCAAACCCGCCTGGACGCAGTCCTGTGCCACGTGCTCTAGGTGACCCTGTGTGTGCAGGGGGGTTGGACTAGATGACCTCTAGAGATCCCTTCCAACCTTAACCATTCTGTGATTCTTCTAATGATTGCAGAGCAATCTTCTAGCTATCTCCTTGTGCTACAAGACTTAGAACAGCTGTTTAACTGATTGTAAAATAAGATACTGTAATACACGGGACACTCCAATTTAAGTATATTGCAATAGACCTCTTGTCCATCTTTCAGTCTTTTCCTTTCCTTGTATAGGGAATGCAACCACATAAGCCTCTTCAAATAAGTGAAAAATGTCTGACACTGCAAGGAATACATTGGCCTGTGTCAGATGTTACATTCTAAATGAATGCTTAGGAAGTTACCCTGCTCCAAGCGAGGGTGAAGCAACAGCAGCTAATTGGTGAGACTTCATCTAACCATTCTGGTAGTGTGTCTTGTGGATCATAGGCTGATCAGAGCTTTGTATCTAGTATCTTGTGTACATTTCTTTTGAAAAATCCAATAATTTTAATGTAAGTTCCTTTATATTTAAAAAAATCCAGTAATTTTAGTGTAGGTTCCTTTGCATTTGATATGCTTCTGTCCTCGGTTCTTCTGCATTCTCTGTACTTTCATGTCTGTTGTATTCTTTAATCACTGAATCTTGCAAGCATTTGCGTCTTGCAAGCAGAAGATTATACTCATATATCTCAGTTTTCCTTTCCCCTCAGAACATTTACCTGATTTACCTTTGCTTTTTCCACAAAGTGAAAATTTCTGTAAACCTTTTTACTTCCTCAACTTTTCCAGATGCCATACTATTGTAATGTTTTCCCCCAAGTTACTAAAACCTTTTAAACTCATTTTTTTTAGCATCATATAAACCCTTAATCCCAAAGAAGCATGGCATCTAAAATATAGCAAGAATATCTAAAAAAAAAATATCAAATAGTAATTTCCAGTTTCTCAGCTTTCAGACTCCGGAATTGAGGCCAAATTTACATTAATAACTTCATTTACTATTAGAATGAAATTTGTTCAGCATTTGAGTGTTATGAAAAGTTTTGAACATTCCCATTTCATGTTAGTTTTCTTTGGTTTGTTTTTTTCCCCCCAGTGTACATGCAGTTGTAACAAAACTGTTACTGCCTTTTGTTCACTTATGTTGTACAGGCAAATGGTTGTAGCTATCCTTTTGGAACAGTTTTGACACTATAAGATGCTGGGAGGAGTCTGCTTATTTAGGTGTGCCACTATTACCGTGCTGACAAGTTTCCCCTATGTAATCAAGATCTAAATTTATCATGTATACGCTCTTGGTCAAGATATGGTCAGGATTGTTAAGATAGGAGACAAAGAGAGCATTATTTGTGACTGTTGAGAGAAAAATCCCAATAACTGACCAAATGGGGCAGAGGGGTTGAGAGGATGTCAAGAGTTTGTTGAGATGATTATGTGATGGGTTATTTCACAGTACATAGCAGAATTATGGTGGTCCATACAAGAAAACAATTTGAGTGAAAGGGATGAAAATATTTCTTTATTTGACAGATTGGGTTCAGGTGAAATGTAGGATGGGATTGTGGCTGATTCCTTCAAATTTCAAGATTTTAAGCAGTTAGATACGTAAGAATGTTTTAAAATTAAAAAAAAAAGTTGAATTAATTTTATGCATATGTTTCAACCAAATTAACTGCCTTATTAAATATAGCTGAAATCATTAAGATCCTGCTAAGAGGTTGTTAACATCAAATTCCACTCCGGAGGGATATTTCTATTTCAGAGGAAAAGTGTTAAAATATCCTATCATGTTTGCAACAAAGATTTTATTATGAACTGCTTTTGATGGTATTCTTGTTTGACTGTTTAGTTTACAGAAATATTTATTTTGATTGATAACGGATACTGTGCTATGCTATGGTTACAAAAGAAGATTCACTGTGCAAATGCAAAAATAATGGATGAACTTAAATATATGGATGTTTTTTTTGGTTTTGTTGTGCGTGCTTGTTTGTTGCGCGTGCTTGTTTGTTGCGCGTGCTTGTTTGTTGCGCGTGCTTGTTTGTTGCGCGTGCTTGTTTGTTTTTATTGAAAGGCTGTGTTCTCATATTTGTGACTAAGATAGAAATTCTGCCTATTGGGCAATTTTAGAGTTGCATGAATGATTTTTTGTTTGTTTGTTTGTTTATTTGTTACAAGTATGCAGGCTTTGGATATGCTTGAGAACAGGTTGGATTTGAATCCAGACAAGTGACGTCTGTGTTATTTAGAGAGGGCTCCATTGCATGCTCCCTCATGCAGCTATTTTGGTCCTGCCAGATTTTATAATGTATTCTAAAATGAAAAGAAAATAAATTCATGTAAAGTAACATACTAAAATTTAGTATGTTACTAAATGTTTAGTATTAGTTTAAAATACTAAAATCAGCACATGATTTTCCTAGCTGTATTTAGCACATGTAATTTTCTTCACTTTTGTGGGATCTTGTTTGTTTTTGTGTTTTCTCCCCTTTTATTCCTCTTGTCCCTCCCTGTATCATTAAAGGAATGACTTAATCATAGAATCCTTAGGGTTGGAAGGGACCTCTAGAGATCATCTAGTCCAACCCCCCTGCACACGCAGGGTCACCTAGAGCACGTGGCACAGGACTGCGTCCAAGCGGGTTTGGAAGATCTCCAGAGAAGGAGACTCCACAACCTCTCTGGGCAGCCTGTACCAGTGCTCTGTCACCCTCACTGTTAAAAATTTTTCCTTTAGTTCCTGTGGAACTCTTGGTGTTTCAATTTGTGGCTGTTTCCTCTAGTTCTATCGGTGACCACCACTGGAAAGCAGAAAATGTGGGTGCCATAGTTGTAGACTCCTTGTCTGTACACATTGAATTTCTTTTCATTTGTGACTTAAAACTAAATTTCTTTTTAGTTTTGACTTTGTTTTCAACTTACTAATATCGATGTTTAATGCCAATTCAAAGGAATTTTTCCAAACTGGAGTGTGGAGGAAAATGACCTGATCTGCCTCAGATTTCTGTGTTAACTAATTGGGTTTGAAATGATTAAGCAGATTTGCATTTTATAAATGAAAAAATTATGTGGAATGAATGTAGAGATAATATATATTTATAAAGTAATTTTAGCATTGTAAAATCATCTGAAGTCCTCGTACGCCATTTGCTATTTGAACATGAATCAAATGTTCTTAATTTTTTTAAAAACAAAATTCCCGACATTCCTAAATCACTGCTTTGGTGAGCTTAAAGTCTCTGAACAATTAAAGTTACTTTGGGTTTCTTAGAACACAGGTGAAAAACGTGGAAAAGGCCATTGATCACAGAATCTTCAAAAAGCTTTAATACCCAATACTATTTTTTAGAATGTGTTTAATCATGTTAAGACTTGCAGAATGATGAGCATTTTTATTGTCATTTTGTCAATTACCCGATTTATTTTCATTTTTAAACTTTTCTAATGCAACTTTTAAAACCAACACTGCAGACTTGGAAACAGCACTGCCATGGGAATGGTGAAGCTTTGTACACCAAGTTTTGACATGAACATGTAGCTCTTGCTGTAGGTCTTGCCCTTTGTTAATAGGGTCTTCAGCTGAACTGCATGAAGTTTTGCCTTTTTCATAGAAGGTACCATTCGTACCTCAACAGCTTCTTAATTGAAACAGCTTCAGGAGGGATAAGGTTATACCTCTGACATTAGTCACATGAGTGCTACTTATTAAGACAATAGAAATATATATTTAACTTCTAATGTTATACTCATTCACAGCTAGCAGCTGTTTTGTAATCCTACGTAAGGAAAAGGGGGCTAGTATAAACTAAAGAATGATATCAGTGTGAGTCTGTATGGAAAAAGGATACTTTTTACACATAAAGTCGGGGTGGAGAAGGAGGGACTCAATTTTGCGTAGAGGAATTCAAATAGAAAAGAAATGCAGTTTTGCTGATAATTTTGACTGGATTTTTAATATTCAGTTTGTATTTAAATGCTGATTTTTTGATAGCAAAACATTTATTTGAACTTTGAAAGTACAAGAATTAATATGTTTTGAAATTAGTGTTAAAAATAACTAACTAAAATTATCCTGTGTCAGACCATTTAAAGCTTCCTATTATAGTGAATTAATGAGGCATATAATATTTAATTGCTTTTTAAAAAAAGAGAGGTTTAGCCGAGTACTATTATGCATTAATCACAACTGACCGATAGTTGAATAATTTCATAGCAGAGAAATTGGGTTATTTTATTATCAGAATGTTTAATTTCTTAGTGTATTTTGATTCTTTTTACCTTAATTTTGTACTTCGGGTTTCCAGTACGTTTGCGTTTTGAAATATTATAGCAGTCTTATTCTTATCCTTAAATCCTGAAACGTACTCGTGCTTAGTTATAATTAATCTTTAATATTAACATAGCTGTGTAGAATTATCTTTTAAGGTGATAGTTCAGCATCTTCTCTGAGAATGAGACCATCTCTTATAACAAAGCTGTTTTCTTCATTATATATTACTTTAAAATCAAATATACTTTTTAAATAATTATTAATATAGCGTATAGATTTAATTTTCCCTTGTCTCAAGAAAGTCTAGTTGTTTTCATAAGATTTAGGATTTTAATCTCAACCTAAAACAGCTGTATTTGCTCAAGTTTTAGTAGGAACCCATCTGAAGTGTTTAATTGTTTTGGTTTCTAGAAAACCTCCCAAAAAGCAGTAAGCCTTGGTCCATGAGTGATGCATCTGCTTCTCCAACTTCACCTCCGGTTAATGACACGCTAAACAGCCATGTTCGACAGAAGAGATCCATAAGCCTAGAACGCTTTGTGGAGACACTGGTAGTAGCAGACAAAATGATGGTGGGATACCATGGTCGCAAAGACATTGAACATTACATTTTGAGTGTTATGAATATTGTAAGTTTGATCCCTGTCTGTGTTTGTTCCCTCTTATGCATGTAACTTTCATGTTCTGAAATCATAAGTGTCTATAAAACATTGTTTATTTACTGATGTGAATAATACTTTAATGTATGCATCTGCTCCCAGTAATTAGTACTTGAAATATGTCAAATACTATATTTTTCCCCACAAAACTAATGATGTTTCTGTCAAGAAGTATACTGTATTCACTTTTAGATTATGTCTCTGATATTAAATTCATATGATTACGCCGAAAGATTATACAGTTTTATTTTGTTGTTTAAATCAAGAACCTCAATGCTCTTTATAATGGGTGGATTATGAAATAAGATATAAAGAATTTTCATTGAAAAATAATTGAAGAATTTTATTTTACTAAATGGTCAGTTGCCGCTTCAAAAATAGTTCTTATTCAGGTGATAATTTCATAATATTAATTATCATTATATTTAACAGGGAAAATGATTAATTTTTAGTCATGAAACAAGTAGTATTTCTTGTCTGACTTTGTCTTTTCTTATTTTCTGGAGGTCAGGTTGCCAAACTTTATCGTGATTCCAGTCTAGGAAACGTTGTGAATATTATAGTGACTCGTTTAATTGTCCTCACTGAAGATCAGGTAAGAGTTGTTTCACTTATATTTTGTATTTTCTGGAGGTCAGGTTGCCAAACTTTATCGTGATTCCAGTCTAGGAAACGTTGTGAATATTATAGTGACTCGTTTAATTGTCCTCACTGAAGATCAGGTAAGAGTTGTTTCACTTATATTTTGTATCTTTGGAAATACGAGGCACTCTATAGTATTATAGATTTCATTTAGTAATTGCTTAAAATGGCTGCATTTGTGTATTAACTCGTCTACTTTAATCAAGACAAAACAGTGAGAAGGAATATTTCCTCGCATGCCAGCTCAAAGATACATGTTGATTACTTCAGGTGAATGTTAATACACCTTCAGAGATATCAGCTTTTATTTTTAGCTCTGTATCTTGATATTCCAATTTTTTTTTGTGTTGACATAATCATTAATAAAGTTGAAGCAGAAATAATGTCTGTTCAGTAATATAAAACTGAGCTTTGGGTCAGATTTTACACAGATAAAATTTGGCAAAAAGAAGTTATTCCTAGAAACCACTGCTTCTAATTATACTCCCATTTAGTCTTCAGAAGGCTTAACAACTGACCTTAGTAATTTGTTTGGAACATTTCTGGTATGCATGTTGTATTGCAGCCAAACTTGGAGATAAACCACCATGCAGACAAGTCCCTCGATAGCTTCTGTAAGTGGCAGAAATCCATTCTCTCCCACCAAAGTGATGGAAACACCATTCCAGAAAATGGGATTGCCCACCATGATAATGCGGTTCTTATTACTAGGTATGGTCATTATAAGTATTGTGTTTATTTTATTTTCTTTCTGTAGCTTTCTTGTTCTTACTTTTATATAGAGGCTAGTTTTAAAATAGTATAACTGGTAGGTAATCTTATGAGGAGAAAAAATAACAGATGGTGTTTTTTTAACGATATCAGACTTAAAGTACAGATTAAAATTTGGGAAGGTAAGATGTACAAATTACTTGTCTCTGCTGTTATTGCTCGTTTCCTAACTGCCAATGGAAAGTATACTGATAAAACAGATCTTATTGAGCATTTTTTAGTTTTATCCTCATGGCGGGGGGAAAAAGAAAAACTATTCTTCAAATTACAGAAGACAAAACACTGTGGAAAATGTTTTGTTAACCATCTGCAATACTTTTTTAGTAAGAATTCCAAGCCAGAACTTCAGTTATTGTAAATCATCATTTTTCGTCTGAAACAACAGTTTCTTGAAGGTTCCAGCAATGTGAGAATCTGCTTTGTAGTTTTTATTTAATATGCTAGGGTTAAGATGAGAGCAGTCACTTTTAATAGCTACTCTGAAAACCTGAGTTTGTGCACATTTGCCTGTACTCCATTGGTACTGTGACACATCCAACAGTGCTCCCTCTGTAATGTTGCAGTCTTGGTAAATCAATGTGTTGCTGTGTATAGAGGTGGGTAAACAACTATACTTTACTAGGAGATTTGTTTCCAGGAGTTTAAGGATGGTATTCTTCTCTTCCCTTAAGTGTTAAATAAACATGAAGTGCAGCAGCACTAATTTGGGTTGGCATCTTTTCATTATAATTTATTTTCCTGTAAAATTTCTGTACTGCTGTGTATGTGACCTTTTTATGGAATCATTATGTTCACTGCAAAAATTTTTAAAATAATCAGTTTTACTTGGACTTTTTCATAAAATATGATTGCGGCTATGTTTTTTGAGGGAGGATTTGTTGTTGTTGTTTTTGTTTCCTTTTGAAAGGAATGGTCTGCATTTTTATATTCATATTTTAAGTATTATTGTTACTGTATAGTGCTAATGACAGCATGTAATAACTAGAATGTTTAAATATCAAAGTTGAGAGCTATTTTAGTTCAATGTGCTTAAGAAGTGCCCCATATTAAAAGAATAGAATTGAGAATAAAATGTAATTACATTCCAAAGTCTCGATTTTTGCAAAGACCTCTATGCTCACTTTTTTTTTTTAATGCATGCAAGTTATCCCCTTATCTTCAAATGGACTGTTCACATATTTGAAATTAAATCTATATTTACAGCTGTGGCCACATGTCTGACTTTGGCTGGCATAATTTAGTCCCAGAGTAAAAAATTGCAGCCTGTTGATGCTTTGAGTGCATCTGAGGCTTCCCAATATACAAGAGCTGTGTCGATACCACTGAACTTGTACTAGTGTAGGTGAATAACTTGATATTATTGGTGTTACTCTGGTGCTGCAAAATGCAGTTGTTTTTCCTCTTTCACAAATGTTATACTCAAATGTTATAACACCCCTGGGTTTTATTGCTATACAGTCTATATTGGCTTTCCTGTTGTATAGGATGTTCCTAGCACAAATATGAAGAGATCTGTGTTCCAGGTTATGGCTTAAATCAGTGTTAGAATGGCCTTGCAACTTTAATAGGAGAAAGTGAGTGGTAAGAGTGAATAATTCCCATTGGAAGTGAGGATTTTTCGGCAATAAGTAGTGGATATGAAAGACCTTCTGGGGCCAGGGGCCTTATTTTCTAATTATCTAGAATGCTATGAAGTTACTGCAGGATATGCTACGTTTGAAAGGATGTAAAAGTTACAAAGTAACTGCTTAGAAGTGTGGACATGTATCTTTTTTAAATAAGCAAAGTATCCTAATGCAGACTAGCGGCATCTGTCCCTATGAGCTTTGCTGAACTTGTACATTCAATTATATTTGCTTTCTTGATGGACTACTTTATTTAGTATAAAAATTATAACTTAGACTCTCAAAGGCTATATGAAACAGTTTGAATGGAATAATCAAACTCTTACAAAGTAAAATGCTAATTGCAATGTAGGTTAATGCTGTGTTGCTATTTAGACAGTGTCATTTTTTCAATTAAGTGGCTTAAAGTAAGCCTAGTTGATTCTTAGATTCTCTTTGAGATATATAGATACATCTATTGGTATCTATACAGGTATATAAGAGTATATATAGATCTCTAGATCTATTTATAGAGATTTCTAGATATATACAAAAGTGTGAAAAAGTCTGATTCTTTTATCTCTTTACATCTCTGGATGTATACAAAACTCTTTTCTTAAATTTCTTTTTTAGAAACTCCCTAGAAAATACGTTGTAAATAGCTTATGAATATAAAGAACATATATATATGTATATATACAGAAGAATATGTACTCTGGCATTTATACTTGATCCTAAAGATACTAAAATAGGAAAATCGTTAAAACTGTTCATCATTTTATGATTCTGGCACTTTTAAATCATGAATTTCCTCAGTAAGTCGTCCGTTAATCCGTAAGTGCATATATTATGAACAAAACTATTTCTCATTGTACATAATGTTGAGGGTCAAAGATGTCCTCTTGTTTTCTGCATTAGTTTGTAGTAGAATCACACAGAATCACAGAATGGCTGAGGTTGGAAGAGACCTCTAGAGATCATCTAGCCCTGCTCCAGCAGGGACACCTAGAGCACGTGGCACAGGGTGGCATCCAGGTGTGGTTTTGAAGATCTCCAGAGAAGGAGCCTCTGTGGAGCTCCTCATATGGAGATTAAACTTCCTATATTTCAATTTACACCCCTTGTCCTGTCAGTAGCCACCACAGAGAAGAACCTAGCCCCATCCTTCCTACAGTCACCCCTCATGTACTTGAACATGTTAATCAAATCTCCTCTCAGCTGCCTTTTCTCCAGACTAAACAGGCCCAGCACGCTTAGTCTTTACTCATACAATAGATGTTCTAGTCCCTTAATCATCTTCATGGCTCCCCGCTGGAGCCTCTCTAGAAGCTCCACGTCCTTCTTGTGCTGGGGAGCCCAGAACTGCACCCAGTACTCCAGGTGTGGCCTTACCAGAGCTGAGTAGATGGGGAGGATTACCTTCCTTGACCTGCTGGCAATGCTTCTCCTGGTGCAGGCCAGGATCCCACAGGCCTTCTTGGCCACGAGGGCACATTGCTGACTCATGGTTAACCTGTTGTTAACCAGGAGTCCCACATCACTCTCTGCAGCACTGCTTTCCAGCAGGTTAACCTTTAATCTATAGTGGTGCCTGGGGTTATTCCTTCCCAGGTGCAGGACCCTGCACTTGTCCTTGTTGAATCTTATGAGGTTCCTCTCTGCCCAACTCTCCATCCTGTCTAGGTCTCTCTGAATGGCAGCACAGCCCTTGGGAGTGTCGGCCACTCCTCACAGTTTGGTGTCATCTGCAAACTTGCTGAGGGTGCACGCTGTGCCCTCGTCCAAGTCATTGATGAACAAGTTGAACAGCACTGGGCCCAGTACTGACCCTTGCGGAATGCCACAGGCCTCCAGCCAGACTCATCAGCATTTATCACCACCCTCTGGGCTCTGCCATTCAACCAGTCCTCAGTCCACTTTACTGTCTACTCATCCAGTCCACACTTCTTGAGCTTCCCTATAAGGATGTTGGAGGAGACAGTGTTGGAAGCTTTGCTGAAATCAAGGTAGACAACATCCACAGCTCTCCATCCAGGTGGTCACCTCATTGTAGAAGGCTATCAGTTTTGTCAGACATGACTTCCCCTTGGTGATTCCATGACTCTTGATCACCTTCTTTTCCTTGACATACCTAGAGATGGTCTCTAGGATGAGCTGCTCCATTGCCTTTCCAGGGACGGAGATGAGGCTGCCCAGCCTGTAGTTTCCTGGCTCCTCCCTCTTGCCTTTTTTGAAGACTGGAGTGATGTTGGCTTTCTTCCAGTCCTCCGGTATCTCCCCTGCTCTCCAAAACCTCTCAAAGATGATGGAGAGCAGCTGAGCAATGACCCGTGCCAGTTCCCTCTGCACTCTTGGGTGCATCCCATCTGCGCTCAGAGATTTTTGGGTGTCCAGTTTGCCAAAATAATCCCTAACCCAGTTCTCCTCGACAAGGGGAAAGTCCTGCTCTCTCTTCTGTGTAGGCTCAGTACATGGGGACTGGCCTTACCAGTAAAGACAGAGGCGAAGAAGGCAGTTAGGAACTCTGCCTTCTCTGCATCCTCTGTCACCAAGGCACCCTCCCCATTCAGCAGTGAACCAACATTTTCCCTGGTCTTCCTCTTGCTGCTGATGTATTTGTAGAAGCCGTTCCTGTTGCCCCTGACATCTTTTGCTAACTCTAATTCCAAATGGGCCCTGGCCTTCCTTGTTGCATCTCTGTATTCCCTGGCAGCGTTCCTACGTTCTTCCCATGTGACCTGGCCCTTCTTCCGCATTGCGTACATGCTCTTTTTCTCATTAAGTTTACCCAACAGCTCCTTGCCCATCCATGCAGGTCTCCTGTGCCCCTTGTTTGACTTCTTTGTTATAGGAATCCACCAATCTTGAGCTTGGAGAAAGTGGTGTTTGAATGTTAGCCAACTCTCCTGGACTTCCTTTCCTTCTAGCACCCTTGTCCAAGGGATTCCTCCAAGGAACTCCCTGAAGAGGTCAAAGTTAGCTTTCTTAAAGTCCAGAGTTGCAATCCTACTTCTTGTCCAGCTTCCTTCTTGCAGGATTGTGAATTACAACATCTCGTGGTCACTGCAGCCAAGACTACCCCCAGCCTTCACATTTCCCACTAGACCATCTCGGCTTGTTAGTATCAGGTCTAGCAGCGCCCTTTCCCTTGTTGGCTCATCAACCACCTGCATCAAGAAGTTATCTGCAATGTTCTGCAGGAACCTCCTGGACTGTCTGCTCCTAGCTGTGTGAGTGTACCCCCATAAGGACCTGGGCCTGGGATCCACCTCCTCTCCCTGGTCAGGAGGCCTGTAGCAAACTCCTATGACAGAGGGAGCCCCTATTGTCCTGCCC